CTCAGGAAATCCCTCGTCGATGCCTGCAGTCTTCAGGTTAAAGCCACCAGCACTTCAACAATAACTCCTGTGCTTAAAAGTCACCTTAGGTGTCCCTCGAAACGAACTTGTCCCTTGTGCGGAGGTTATGGGGATCCTTTTGCTACACTGAGGACAGGAGCAGGCTGCCTGAGGCAAAGCACGAGCTTTAGTTTAGTGCTGGAACACGCAAAGACAGGCACCGATGCGTGCCCGGCCTGTGCATTTCCAGGGAATCTTGCCTTACTCCAACCAGCGCGTTCCTTCCCGGCGGTGTAGGGGACAGGGGGCATTCCTGGCAGTGCCCGGGCTCCCATTCGTGGCATCTGCGGCGGGCGCCACGCTGCCGTCCTTCTCCCCTATCCCTCACTTCCTCCTCCTGAGCCACCCCGACCCTTCCAGCCAGATGCAGCGCTGCGGAAGCTCCCTTTCCCTCTGCTCACGCACCCCTACGAAGACACCCGTCCACAAACCAGCTCCTCTCGGGGCTCAGTGCCTGGTCTGGAGCCGCTGCGCTCCCGCGGGCATCCCGGCCCCGGAGCCAGGGGGGTGATGGCACTCAGGGCTTCCCCCCTCCGCGGCCGCACAGCCCTCATTGCCGGCTCCTTTCCTCCTCACCGGTGCGGCGCTGGCCCGGTCAGCCCCCGCTCCAGGGCGGGACTTCCCGGGAGCCGCTGTCCACGGTGCTGAACCCGAGCCGCGCTCGCCCCGAAGCCTCGGGGCGGTACCCGCGGGAGGCGCAGCCCGGGCTCCGGCACAGGGCACCCCTCCGAGCTCGGTCGGTCTGCAGCCCTCGCCAGCGCCGTTGCAACCCGGCCCTGTGCGGGTGGAGTGCCCGGGCCGGCGGGGTCGGCTCCCGTTGTCCAACGGTCAGCAGATGGCGCAGAGTCCCCGGGAAGCGCGGGCCGACGTGCGAGGACCAGGGGCAGCTGTGTGGCCCTGGCCGGTGAGGACGGGCAGACGCGGCCGGCCAAGCCGGCATCGCGCCTGCAGCCCCGTCCCTGGGGCGACCACAGCGGTGCCCTCGGTGGGGAGCAGCCCCGCTGTGAGGCTGCTTCAAACAAACGGGAGCGGGGCACGGCCCACGGCGCCGCCCCCCCACACGCGGCGGGTAATTAAAGCAAACAAACAAGCGAACAAACAAGTAGGGGCCGAACCGTGCTACGGGGCCCGGCCCGGTGCGGAGGAACGCGGCTGGCAGCCGCCGCCAGGCCCCTCTCCTCCTTCCGCGGGGCAAACATTAACGAAGGGCAAACGCAGCTATGTGCGAGCGGCTGTAAATCAATCCCGTCACAAGGACACGGCCGGCAAACAACAGTTGCCCCAGCGCCCGCCCGGTGCGGAGGGGCACGACCGCTCCGGGGGCGGGCTGCGCTCCCATCCTCCGATCCCACCGGGCCGGAGCACCTCGTCTCGGGCCCAGCACCGCGCCGGCAGCTGCGCATCGGCCACTGTCACCACCCACGGTGCGCGGAGCCAGGCCCGCGCCAGTCCCCGCGACGTCCGGGCAGCCCGGGCCGAGAGTGACAGGGTCTGTGCCCCAGGCCCACGCCGCTCTCAGGCTGTCATCGGCCAAGCCCCCGGTCGATGCCCTCCGCCTCCCTGATGCAAATGCGTTTATGCAAAGTCCCCGCCGGGTAAATATTAATCAGGCCCTAATGAGGCAATTGGGGCCGGGGAGGCATCGACCTTCCTCGGCGCTGGGCGGGCGGCCGGCGTGGCGAGGGGAGCAAGCGGCGCGCATTAATTTCATATTTAATGTGGAAAACGCTCTGATTACGGTATCGATTTCTTTACAGTTAATTTGGCGGGAATTTCTCGCCGGCTTCCCAAGACTTCAGCTTCGCCGAGATTCAGACTGGGAGGGAGAAAGGAAACGAGAAGGGAAGAAGAGCTGCGACTACGGAAAATATCAGCCTGGGCGCAGGCAAAGACCGAGCAGCTCCGGAGGGCCAGAATGAGCCCCACGCCCCTTGCCCGGACGTGCTTGGGACACTGGGAGCGGGAAGTCGCCGCGGAGGGTACACCTCGGCAAGGTGGCCTCTGCTGCAGAGGATCCAGAGAGGCCTCTGTGCTCCCTTGGACCCCCTCGCCTGCTCCCGAAATGTTTATTTGCCGCGTTCCTCCCGCGGGGCCACGGCCCAGGGCACACTGGGTTTTCCTGAACAAGAGGAGTCGGGTTCTGCCTTCTTTATCCCTTCCCATTTCCCTCCCTATTCGAAAATAACCTGGAATAAATTCCCCTTAAATCCCATCAGGCTGCAGAAGGGCTGTGCATTCTCTTTGAACTGTATTTTTGCTTTCCGTATCACTTCACTGCCCTGCCAAATGTCCATGACAGCGAGGGAAGGGAGGGAACACCATCTAAGAGAGAAATGGCTGAATAGATAAATATTCAGCGATCGAGGGGGTGAGAGAGTGGGACAAAGGACAAGAGAAGAGAGGGGAAGGAAGATGGGATGAATAAGATGGAGGCTGGAAGAGGTCAGCTTTGCAATTAGCAGTTCTGCTTACATTTCAAGAGACAGCCCAGGAAGTGTCAAGACCTCAATCCTGCTTCCATGTAACTACCAATTTTTCCACTATTTGTCGGAGCTTCTGTAATCTGGGAGGTAGGGATCCCCCAGGGATGGCTGGAAGGGGCAAATACTCAAGATAAAGTGCCGTGCAAGACCGTGAGGCCTGAAATAAGAAGGCTCCATCCCCCTCACCACCTCCTGCCGCTCCCTGCAGGAAATGAGGAAGGCAAGAAATGAAGGCAGAGAGGGCTCTGCTCTGGCTATTTATCTACCTGATAATTCTCTGAATGCCCGGGAGCGAGTTATAATTTGGACATGAAATTTAATTTGCGTCGGCTGGAGTAATTTATAGTATTTTGAATTGATGTTCATACATCAATATCAGCTGGGGCAGATTTTTACCACTTAGTAAGATCATCACACATTTAAAACGTGTACAACCCGGGATCGATGCTTGCTCGCTGCATGTGCAGTACGGCGCCGGCAGCGCGGAGAGGCGCGCATCCTCTGCGGGGTGGGGCCGGGCCCTCCGCGGCCGCCCTCATTGGCTGGGACGCCGTATTATGCAAATGTCCACGTGCTGTGGGGCAGCCGGCGCGCGGGCGGGGCAGCGCCTCTCGAGGCCCGTGCGGGATGGGGACGCGGGGCCCGGGCCGGCCGCTCCTGTGAGGTGGCAGCGTTTGGGTTTCGTCAGGAAGGGAAGGCGGAATAATGAGGCTTTGTCTGTCTAACGGGATTACCGGGATCCGGTCGTGAGAGTGCAGCACTGAGGTGGCAGGGGGAAGGGGCAGTGCAGGGGCAGAAGAGAACAATGGGTCCCCTCCGAACACGGCAGTGGGTCAGAGCGCGGGGAACTGTCCCCTTCCTCCTGCCCAGGCCTCCCTCCGGCCCGGGCCGTGGAGCCGCTGCCAGCAGTGCCAGCAAGGGGAGGCCAGCAGACTCCAGAGAGAGGGGTTGCTTCCAGTATCGATCTATGCAAATGAGCGGAGATTCAGGTCGACCGAATTGTCGTAAAAATATGTTCCAAACCGAAGAAGGCTCGCCTTAGCGATCGTTATGGGGATACTGCAAACACAAATTCCATCGTCCTCCCGCGGGTAGCACCAACAACGCGAGGGTTTTCTCCTGGTGGGATGGCTGTCGAGGAAGGGAAGGTGGAAAGGGCATTTTCTGAGAGCTTAGAGCTTTGAAACTGACTCGGCAGGAGTGGAAGCCAAAGGGAACAACGTCCTCCCACCGGCGTGCACCCCAGGGCCGGGACGGCGGGAGGGGGATGCTGTCCCGGGCCCTTCCCCATACCGCTTCAGGCTTTAGAAAAGAGAAGGGAGCTGAAAGCGGGTAAGGAGCGCGATGCGGCCCAGCCGGGTCCCCGCAGACTCCCAGTTCCCACCGTCACAGCAGTCGAAAGTGCAGCAGCCTTTGTGCCTTTGCGAGGAGAAAGATTCAACCCTTCCCTTATTTTTGTCTGTGAAACGGATCAGTGACCCCGGCTCCAACTCGGATCGACTGCCTCGCGTTCTCCAGGGACAAATTAATGGAGACCTATCACTTAATTAACAAACCCTCACTCACGGCATATTAAACTCGGGCTCCGCGCTGGGAGCGCAGGAGGCAGGGGGCGGCGAGCAGGCACCGAGTGGGACCGGACGACTGCTCCGGGCGGGCAACACGGAGCCGCTGGGAGGGGGGATGTCTCCGGAGCAGCTCGGAGACACGACACGGACTGCGAGTCTCAGCAGGGGCATCCACGCGCAATTCAAACTCCACGGCCTAATGATAATCACAACCAATTAAAAAAAAATTAAGTAAATGAACTGATTCCAGCCACCAGCCTCTCTCAGCCCGCAGTCACACGCCGGGCACGTATCGCTTGCGGGAAAACCCCGTCCCAGCACAGCGAACCCAGCCCAAGCGGAACGCGGGGCTGGAGCTGGCCAAAACCCCGGCGGGCGCTGCACCGGAGCCCGGGGTCGCTGTCACCGGCACAAAGCGGACGCATCGACACCTCTCGGCAGAGCGTTACCGGGGCTCCCTCCCCCACGTCAGCGAGCCGTACCGGGCAGTGCCGGGCACGATCGCTCAGAGAACCGCCGAGCAGAGCATTTCCGCCTCGCCCTGCCCGCTGCGGGCAGCGCTGCCGGCGGGCCGTGCGCGTGTCGCCGCACCCCGTTACCGGACATGGTGGGCGCCGTCCCGCTGGCGGCGGGGAGGCTGGCGGGTGCGCCCCGCCCGAGCTAACGGGGAGAGCCGGAACGCCGCAGTGCGCAGCCCGGGCCCCGGCTCGGCTTTGTCTGGCAGCCGGGAGCGCGGAAGCCGGACTGTGCCGGTGCGCGGAGCGAAACGGAGCGGCGGAGCGGGGCTGGGGCCTCTCCGCGGGGGCAGGCAGAAACCGGGGCGGCCTGCCCAGGCCCGGGGCCCCAGCCCCGTCGCCACGGTGCCCCCTCCGCCCCGCAGCGGGCTCACCTGCCAGCCGCAGAGCAGACATTCGCTGAAATTCCGGCTCCTGGAGCCACTTCCACATCCTGCGGAAGGTCTCCCGGCCGGATTTGAGCTTGCTCCAAGGCTTGGGGTTCCTCAGCAGGTCTGAGAGGGTCCCTTGAGAGCGGCACAGCACCCTCTGGGCGAAGATAGCCTGGGGGATGCTGTACCGCTTGAGCTCGGTGGTGATCCTCTGAGCTACTTCTTTGGTATTGATTTCTTCCATTTGCCCTGAATTACTTCCACTGTTGACCTGCGAACCAGTTACAGAAGGGTTTTGCTCCCTGGCAGAGCCCAGGATCTGCCCGTGGCTCTGGGCATTCAAGTGGGCATGGGGGTGGTGTGGGATCCCGTTGATAGGCACCATGCCAGCGGAGGTGGGGGTGAGGTGTTGTTCGCCATGCCTGGCCAACATGGCAGGGTGGTGGGCTTCAAATCCGTTTGGGGTGAGCATTTTCTCGGCGGGCATGGTGGCACTGGGGTGAGCGTAGTGGGGCAGCCCTTGCTGGGAGTTGTGGATGCTCCCCAGGCCCGATCCAGACAACGGAGAGAGGCTCTGCCCCATGCCAGTAACATCCTTATGGTAAGGGGTGTAGAGATTGTTCATAGATGCCAGACCCCTCTCGTCCCGCATGAGCGTGAAGCTGCCGCTCACGTTGCCCGGTATCCGCTGGTGGGGGTGGTGGTGATGGTGATGGTGGTGATGGTGGTGAGGGAACTTGTCCGAGACCGTCGAGATGGGAGGTAGAGGCTGCAGCGGGGTGAGCGTGGTGTAGGTGCTGCTCATGCTCATGCCGGGGGGGGTCTCGCAGGCCATGGTCATGGTGGGGTGCAGGGGGCCCGTCAGCGCGTGGTCGGGCGGCCGGTGGTGGTGGTGGTAGTCGCCGCCGTCGAGGATGGACGCCATGCCCATGGAGCGCGGGTGTGCGGGCAGGTGGCTGCCGCGGTGGGCCACGGCGCTCCGGTGGTGGGGGCTGCCGCTCATCAGGTCGGCAGCCGCGGGCACCGGCTCATGGCTCACCCCGTGCAGGTCGCCGATGTTCTCCATCGCCAGCTGCGCGTTCATCGTCGGCCAGGCGGGCGGCCGGACCGCACATCTATCTGGTGGGCAGCGGGGCGTCCCGGGGCTCTTCGCGGCGGCCGCGGGCCGGTTCCTCCCGCGAGCCGGCGGCGGCGGGTGGGCGCTGCGGGCTGGCGGCGGTGCTGCTGCTGCTGCTGCTGCCGCGGGGCTGCGGGATCTTCCTTTTTTTTTTTTTTCCTTTCCCCTTCTTCTCGGCTCTGTCTTTATTCGTTGCTTTCCCCGCTGCCGGGTGACGCCGCCGGGCCGCTGCTCTGGCCCCGCTCGGTCAGGCCGGGCCCCGCCGCCGCGGCGGGAGCCTCCCGCGCCGCTCGCCCTCCCGAGCCATGGCTCTTTCTGCGCTCCGCCGCCCGGGCAGCGGCTCGGCTGCTGCAGCGCCGCGGCCGCCACAACGGCGCATGCGCACGGCGCCCCCGCCCCGCCCCGCCCGCCACGGGCCCGCCCCCTCTGTGACGTCACCGCCCCTATTAAGGAGGCGAGCCCCGCGCGGCGGCGGCCGGAGCCGGTGCTGTCTTGCGCTGCCGCCCCGGGCCCTAGCGCCCCCCCCTCCGCCTCACTCTCGGGCACAAAGGGCCGACCCCTCCCGCACTCCGCCTCTCCCGGGCCGGCGGCTCCCGGGTATTGGGGCTGCCCGCCCCGCCCCGCTCCGCCCCTTCGGTGACTCCTCGTTTTCCAGGAGCGCGGAGCCTCCTCGCCCTCACCTCACAGTGAGCTTCCGGGGGGTGAGACACCCTGGCCCGGGAGCCCGCGGGCAATGCCCGCCCTACGCCCCTTCTGTCCCCCCCCCCAGTATCCTTCTGGCTCCCGCACGCACGCCAGCCCCGAGACCTATCCTCTGCGCTGTCCTACCGGGGAACTTCCCGTTATCCGTCCTGGGAAAGAGCGCTGGGAGCCCCGCAGCGCTGCGTCCGGGTCCAGCTGGGTTCTCCCCTCGCTTCAGCTCCCGTTTACCCCTCCCAGAGCTCTTGTCCCGTGTGTCCCCCTCCAAGATCCCGCTGGGCCCAGCCAGTCGATGCGATGCGGGGACCTCCCCCCTTCAGCCCTCTCCGGAAACCTCGATGGCCCGGGGGCCGTGCCCAGCGGCCCAAGGAGAGCATATGCCCCGAGGCGCCCGGCAGCCGGACGTGCCGCTGGTTTTCTTTTATTTTTTCCCCCAAAAGAAAGAAAAGGAGGAGGAGGAGAAAGAAAAAGCGAGCGCACCCGCCAGCCCCCCTCGTTAGCTAAGGTGCCTTTATGCTGGAAGAAAGGGCAGATGTGCCTATTGTTCGCCCATTAACAATAACGAACCACGCCGGGCAGAGTGCCGCGCGTCCGCGGCGCCGAGCTGCGGGAGGGACGGGGCACGCCGCGGGAGATCCGCGGGGCCGCAGCCGGGAGGCACGGGGCTGGCCGTGCACAAAGGCCGCCCCTGCTGCAGCCGCTCCCCCCTCTTCGCCGTCGGAGCCCGAGGGAGCTCCTGGGCACCCGCGGAGCCGCCTGGGACCCTCGCCCCAGCGAGGCCCTGGGAGAGCGAGTAGGTCCCTGCCGCGGTGGGGCTCACCCTAGGGACCGGGTGTCTTTTCTATGGAGTGTAGGACAGGGCTGGAGCACCTGCCCCTGCAAAGCCCCGCAGGCGGGATGCCAAGTGAAAAAGCACACAGCCCCGCTCCGCCGCTGCCCGGTGTGAGCCGAGGTCTGTAACAGGGGGATGCCACCTGCAAAAAGAGCCTAGGCCCCTTCCCTGCTGAGAACCAGGAGACCGCTGCAGCGGGGCACCGACCCCACGGAGAATGAAGACCACAGTAGTAGGGACTGGATCCGGTCCTCGGCCGGGAGTCACCTTGGGAGGGAGCCGAAATTGAATCCTGGGGTTACTTCCCTCGGAGCTGCTGCCCCAGCTCTATGGCCAAGGCCCCTGGAGGTTTCCCTGGGGGCGAGGGCGCTGCACTGCTCCGACCCCGTGTGGGCACCCGCTCCCGCACTCCCTCCGCCAGGCACCGAGACCCCTCGCTCCGCACTTTGAGCCCGAAGCACCGCGGCAGCGGCCGAAGCGGGGGGCGCGGAAGGGCCTCGGCCAGGAGTCCCGCAGGCAAAGCCAGGCCCGGCCCCGCTCCAGCCCCGGCCGCCCCCAACAAGCACCTGGGGGAAAGAGGTGACCGCGCTGGGTGCGGGCATGGGGACCGGCCTCCCCCCACCGGGCACCCGCCGTCCTCCTCTCTCCTAGGCACTATGGAACGTAGCGGTACCCCGTGGGGTTCTCAGGACACCGTGCCCTGGGTGCCCGGCTTGGGGGCTGCTGCCAGGGACAGGCCATGTGCGTGTCTGCAAGTGCAGTCTGTGACAGTGTGTGTGCTATCGGTGAGCTAAAACCAGCCCCAGAAGCCGGGCAAGCTCGCAGGAAACTTTTAGAATCACGACAACTATCTGCTAAGCAAGCCCGCATCATGAGCTTTTTTCCCCTATAAATTCAGAATTTCCAAAGCGGGTTTATTCACTTCCTACAAGTAACACACACACGAGGATTTGTAAGAATTCAGCGCCATTGACACACAGGTCCGAGGGACATCCGTTACTCACCTCCGATCACTCCCCCCGGGGTGCACGAAGCTCCTCTGTATTTTATTTCGCTCTAAACCCCACATATACAGATCCCGCTCGGTTCCGGTCTCTCTCCAGTACTGCCCGTCCCTAAACGCTTCCACATCTCTCTGAATTTTTGTAATGTTACCGTTAACAGACTCTCCATTTCTTACAGAGAGGGACAGATGAGGAGAGGTGTAACTGCGGGAGAATTAAAAATAGACCCGAAACCTAATCAATGATCTCAGGAAATGTTTAGGATAAAACAAAATCATCGAGAGCTTTTCGTGACCGGAGTGAACGTCTGTGATTGTTTCCCAGGCCAGCGCGAGGTGATGTCACGGATCTAATCGAAGCGTTGCCAGCTTCTTCTTCATCAGGACCTGTATACAATTTACAGTTTAATTTTAAATGTTTCACCTCCACGCTGTTAGCGACTGGTTACCAAAGCGAGCACCTCCGCGGGGGTTCGGAAGTTATTCCCTCGAGTTTGTAGGAAATTACAGCATCAAATTTTTCTTCAAGCAGTGAGCTCAGACCCATCCGCAGTTTATCTGGTCCCGAGATGCGCCGGCCTCTGCCGGGGTCCGGTTCCTAACCCCAGACCCGCACCCGCCTCTCCGCTCCCACACGCCTCTGTGCTTTCAAAACTACTTCTCCCCGTTACTCTTCGGGGGGTCACGACGAAGCAGCCCCGGTGCGCAATAGCCGCGGCGCGGAGGGCAGCGCTTGGGCACTGTCCCGACGGTGCCGCGTTCCCCGACGGTGTCCGGGCCCGTCTCTGCCGCAGGGAGCCCCGAGTCCCCCCGGTGGGCTTACAGGGGTCCGGGACTGGGGAAGCGAGACCGGGCCAGCGCCCCGGCTCCAGCCGTCGGGGTGTCCGGAGCGGGCTCCCCTTTACGCGGACCCGTCCGGTTCCTCCGCGGAGCCCCCGGCCCTGCCGGTGGAGGGGGGAGAGCCGGAGAGAGATAATTTCGGTGCGGTAATCAATTACTGCTTGTGCAGTCAAGTACCATATATTTAACAGAATAATCGTTACCGCCCTTAAGTCTTTATTTGATCAGCAGATACTCGGAGCGGACTTAAAACGCAACTTTGCTTGTTTGAATTGCGTTGCGTGTGTGTGCTTTTTAAATCCGAGATAATGACACCGTGAAACGGCCGTAATCTCCAACCTGAAGCCAGCGAACACCGCCGTGTACCGGGGCCAGCCCGGACGGGGCGGCCCAGTCAGGGACACAGCGATCACGGTGCGGACCGGACAGGGGTTTGGGTTCTACTATTATTATTATTATTATTTCCCTTTTTCTCCCCCAGTTCTCGTTATTTGTTTTAATTGCGCTGCCCCAGCCCTGCGCGGCTCTCCGCGCCTCCTGCGCAGTGACAGCTTGCGGCATCGGGTCCCCCCGCACGGGGAGCGTGTCAAAGGTGACGCTCGAAGGCTCCCGAAGCCAACAGCTGCCGGGGGGGATTAACTTTTCCAGACTTTCCCCTGTCGAGCTTCTTGGAAACTTGCTTGGCGACAAAAACACACACATCTGTCGGGGGCAGGCACAGAAAGGGGCCGCACGGCCGGGGCCGGCGGGGCAGGACCGGCCTTTGAGGGCAGCCTGCGGCGCGGCGGGAGGCACGGCGGGTGCCTGCCCGGGGAGGTGGGGGTGGTCCCGGCTCCCCCCCGCTTCCCGTCCGGACGCCCCCCGTCCGAGCCGCCTCGGTCCGTCTTGCAGCCGCGCTCTCTCGCACCCCCCGGAGCAAACCGCAGCGCTTGTTAATGAAGGAACTTAGGGAAGATTGCAAAACACCGTAAATAATTTAGCATTGTATTTCAGGAAAAAAAAAATAGCTTTCTTAAATCACCTCCTCAATATAACTTGCAGACTTACAGTATGGCCCTGGTAAGCCTAAATTTTTAAAGTAGCAATATTCAAAGAGACAGAGATGTCTGTATTAATTATTTATCCGCTGGTGCCTTCCTTCGTTTCTAACTTATTATTAATTAGGCGCCTCTAGTCTTTCGCAGAGAGCTCCACAGAGCCAGTTGCAGCTTTAAATATGAATTAAAAGCAAATCCAAGCTACTGTAATGCGAAAATTATTCCGTGTCTTCCATGGCAGAGATGAATAGCTGCGCAGATCAATACTGTGAAGCTATGCTCCAAACGACAGGGTTATTGATAGCTTATATTAATGATGTTAATGATGGAAAAAGGAAAACAAGAACCCGACCAACTTATAAACTTTTTATCTGCTGAAACCCCGCAATCAAGCGGACGGGAGCATGAATTACGGTGGCTGGAGATAATAAGGACGTTATTTATGAAACCGGGTAAATGACTTCTGAGAGTTTGATGCGTTTGAACTCTGCGCCGCCGCCTGCTCGGGTGCAGGTCGGGACTGGACCGGCGCTGCTCCCCGGCCCCCAGGGTGCGTGTGATCCACGCGTGACCCACGCGGTCCGCGCCCCGGTGCTTCGGGTCCTGAGAGGCTGCCCCGGGAAACCCGCAGGGCCTCGCCGCGGGGGGCGCAGGGCCCGCTCCCGGGGCCCGCCGCCAGCTCCCGGCACGGGCACCGTTACGCGTGACGGGGGCAGCTCACGAGGCCTGCAGCAGCCGCTCACTCCGTGCCCCGGACACGGGGGGCCGGGCCGGGCCTTCCCGCCCGCGGAGCGTGTGCCGTGGGGCAAGACCAGCCGTCGGGACCCGGGGCCCGACTCGTTCCTCTACCCCCATGGACACGCGTGGAACCCCCGAAAGCAGCCCAGCGCCGAGCCGTGCGGGGCCGGCCGAGCGCGGAATTCCCGGCGGGACGGACAGAGCCTCGGCCA